GCGTGTTTGTTTTAAAAAGCTTCAAGTAAAACAAGAAATGAATGTTAAAAATATAAAGAAACTTAGTCTTAAACCATTTAGCTTGACAAAAGGAGTTAAACATACACAAAAGATCATAAAAACAAGTTTGTTGAAACAAAAAGATAGAAAGTTTGAGAAGCAAAAAATAAAACAGTGAAAGATTGGGTTAGGTGGCAGGGTGCTGCCTGTTGCAGAAGGTTGTATGGTCGCTGGTACAGTGATTGGTGTGATCCCTGGTGAAGAATCCAAGACAAGGGATTGGCTCATGAAAGCTGCGAGACGGGGATAGATGTTCTTCATAAACGCGATCAGCTTCTCCATTTCAGAGATCCGAGATTGACTTTGCCGATGCTCCTCATCACGACGAGCATTATCCGCGTCTTGTTCAGCTATCTTACGACAAGCTGATTTAAGCTTTTCCTGGATCTCTAACAATGCTGTCGTAGAAGAGCTTGCATAGCTTTCCTTCCTTTTCCCTTTGCTGACCATCTCAGACATTTGACCCATTCCAAAAGGGTTCCCCTTCTAATCGAGTTGAATACACTGCAACGACAAACAAAATATTGAATGCCATGAACAAAACATATTACAACCACATAACTAAATTCAGAATGATTCACTACTAACAAACAAGTATATATTTCACTAACAAACAAATAAATTCAGAATGATTCACTACTAACAAACTAAATTCAGAATGATTCATAAATCATATTGCTACACACAAAGATTCCGAACAAAAAACAGAATATTCAATGTCATAATGGCCCAGTTCATGCGAAACAGAAACAGAAACAGAAACCAGGAGACTTGCAAGTTGTGTGTAGCATTCCTTAAGGAAAGAATGATATATTCCTTAAGGAATCATTGTGTATATCATTCTTTTCATCAATGGTTGCAATGTACTGTTCTTTATCTCATCTCCTTCTTCTGCAATTAGATGGACAAAAAGCTAGCCGAAATCTACACTCGTTCTTGCTCTTAGGTCACCGACGAGAACTAAAATGGATTGTTATTAACTCCTTCTTCAGCAATTTTCTATTTCTTTTGCATCGATCATCAAATTTGGTCTGAGAGTTAGGGATTCGATAAATTAGGGATTTGACTTTCCAATTACTCTTGAAATTCCAATTAGGGATTTGTGTATTTGTTTCTTATTCTGTGTGTTTTCATTATTTAGGGACCCAATGCGAATCCCAAAATCTCATGAAGAGAGTAGAAAGATGGACGAAATTCAACAGGCACTGCGCAGAGAGAAGAAGAAAACGTGGCCGGTAGATCATTACCAAAAAACTGTATGTTCCTCTTTTCTTCGCATTTTTTTAATGTATCTTTTTTTTTTTAACGCATGTTTCTCATTCTTCGTGGTTTTACAAACAGTCTCTACACAAGACTGAAGGCAACAAAGGTAGTATGTAGTTTCTGATCATGTTGTTTATTATATAATTTGATTGATGGTGGGTGTGTTTTATAAATGATAAGGGGTAAATTAAAGAGTCCTATTCTAATTGTTCTCAGGTGAGAGTTACGTTTATTCCGTTGAAGGAGAGAGTTAACGGTAGGTGGGTTTAGTATAAGGTAACATTTTGAAAAACTGAGAACGACGACATCATCAGCTCCTCCGTCACCGTTATGGTCTCCATCGCACGTTCGCACGTGTGCCATAAAATGATATGTTTATTGATTTCTGATCCACGTTTGAGGAATCTAACTTGTAGATAAATTCTTCTTTTTTTTTTTCTTGTGTAATTTTTAGTTTTTCTGATTTTCATTGTATGAAAATCATTGTTAGAACAAGAAATGTATTTTCCACTGACGTTTGAATTTTTTAAAACAATAATCATTTGGTATATGAGACTTGACTTGCACAACGCGAAGAAAACATTTGAAAAACTAACATAATTTAGATTAAAATATTGTTTATTTTAAAGGATCATAATGTCGAGGAAAAAGATGGAGTTAGTGGGGATTGGATACGAATTATCACAAGGTTGGGTTGAAAATGTAGTAGAAATAATAAAATAAGTATAGATAACAAGATGGGAATGTGTAATCATAGTTACACGGGCCTAATTCCTTCCATAAAACACGTTAAGTGATAATTACACTTTGAGAACCCACATTTTTTTAATGTTTTTTTTTCTTTCACATTATATCATTTGTAAAAAATACGATAAGCTATGGTAAAGCAATAATTTATAAATCTGATTTTAGATCATCGAAGTTTTTAGTAACGTGGTAAATATATATGTTTTAACGATTAGAGAAGATAAATTGAAGTTTATTAAGACTGCAAGTACGATATGTCTGACCACACGCTTTAACATGTTTGCAAGTTTTGGGGCACCGTGATGCCATTTTTGATTACTTTATTGATTAGTAATGTTTCAGTTGACAAAGATCTACTTGATATCGAAGGAG